CCCCAAAACCCCAAAACCCCAAAACCCCAAAACCCCATTGTATGAATAAACTATTGAAGGACCCTTTGCAAATTTATTAAAAATGTTCTTCAAATGCCTGAAAGAAGGCTGAAACCGTAAGTTCTCAGAGAAGAAAGAGAGAAATGATCATTACAGAGAGCATGAAAAGAGTTCAAGGCCATTTCAATGGTAGGTGCGTTAAAGTCATGCTTTATAGCAGTAAATGAGGTCAATGCTTCACTCAGATTAGTTCCCTACAAAAACATGGAAGGGTTCACGACAAAAGAAAACCATACATCTGTAAATACGACAGTTGTGGCATGGCCTTTACCCAGGTAAATCATTGTAATGATAATATTTCCTGTTAGAAATATTTTTTATTATTGGACTTCTTTTAATTAAGCATTAACCAATAATTAATGAAGTTTTCGTAGGCTTCTAACCTCATCAGACATGAAAGAATACACACAGGAATAAAGCCTTATAAGTGAGATCGCTGTGATAAGTCCTTTGCTTCCTCTAGTAATCTGAAGCAACATAAGGAGATACATCAAAGCGAGGTAGGTTCTATTTAAAAATGCCTCAGGAGTTTATCAGTTAATTTTCGCAATGACCCAAAATTAAAGCTATGAGCTCTCCCTTGATTTCTGATAAACATTTTCAATTTTCTCTTCACTCCAGCTTTGTTTACTCCTACTCTGCCTATCGGATGGCTGTCCCAAATAATTTTCTCTAGTCCAAAATTGTGTAATGTTAGAGTAATGGGTGATTTCCAAGGAAGTCTAGAACCTTCATTCACCTATGATACATTTATTATAAAAAGAGAGTTCTTTGAGGATGAATATTACTGTGCTAAATCGAGCCCCAGCTTGTTGGGTTCAATTTTTCTCAATTCAAATTTCTCAACTTCATACTCTCATTCATCAAAATTTAGAATGATAGGCAAAGATTTGTTTGCCCAATAGAGGAATGTTCAAAAGTATACCTATACTTTAGTTCACTGAAGAAGCATCTGTCAAAGAACCATAATGAGTACTATCGCTCCACATTTAATCAGACAACTAAAACAGAGATCCAATTTCTGAAGAGAATGACAACCCAAAATGTTGATGTCGATGACTCTGATAACGCATCAGAAGAAATGGGCAAAAATTTAGAAACCTTGCCTCCACCCAGAAGTAAGTTTTTGACATAGATTAAGACTCTTTCTCACCAACACCAAATTTCAGATTATTAAAATTTTCTTCATTGAATCTTATTGAACTCCTTGAATATTTAATGAACTTAGAGAGCTTTCTGAGAAAGAGGAAAGCTAAATAATGAAGCACTCAAGAGATTACAACAGAGTAGCGACCATAACTCTTCAAGTGATCTTGCTTCAAATGAGGAGGAGAAGCAGTCATGTGTAAGTCTTTTCACCAGATTCCATAGAGCTCTGAAGAGCAAGTCCAAAGTCAAAATTCTACTAAAAGATTCAAGATTACTGAGGAAGAGGAAGAATCACTAAAATCTCAGAAAAGCTGCAAAAACATCATTGATTCTGAAGAACTTAAAGAAAGAATAGAAAGGCTTCAAATGTCAAATCCTGGACTCAAGGAGAACTTCGGGAAACTAGAAATGAACATGAGAAAGCTGTCTTCTTCATCTAAAAATGAGGATGCTGAAGGTCCTATTAAAAAGCAAGCTCCAGGTATAGCTCAAGAATCATTGATGAAAGAGCATAAAACTGAAGATTATAACTACTCACGTCTCCCTACTTCTGAGTCCTTAGGGGGTATTCCTCATGATTCCTCAATGCAAGATCAGAGCCTCCAAGAATCATTGGCTCAATATTTACTTTTCAGTATGGCTTCAGATCAGGTCCCTCAAAATGCTGCTCCAACTGCCATTTCTCCACAAGTGGAAATGTTCTTACAGACTCAAATCATGAAGGATTTATTCTTGAATGCTTTTAAAAGATTTCTTCAATCCACAAAGGAGACTATCAGAAGCAACCTGTTTAATATTCTTGCCCCTTCAGGGGCTGCTGGAGCTAATCAGGCTTCTTTGGCCCAAGATGATGCTGAAAAGAGGAAGAAATCAGATCTCCTTTCTAATGAAACTATAGAATCAGATAAAAATCGCTTGAATTCTTCCTTTCAAAGAGCTGATGCTCTTCCTCTCTCTCAAAGGAGAAACCTAAACTTTTCATCTTTCAAGAGAGCTAGTAGCAAGAATGGCCCAATGCTCGGGTACCCTCAAAAGCAAGAAGATTCGGACAGCTGGGACCCTAAAGAAGAGAAAAAGCAATAGGTTTGCTACTATTCCTCATATGGCTGGCCTCATAAGCTGCTTCTCATAATTTCATTATGCCAGTGGCTATTTCCTACTGAATAGGCAACTGAAGGTAGGATCCATGAGTGCCAAAGTATCATGCCATATTGATTTTCTGCAATCGCAGTTAAAATCTGTTTCTTATGATTCTAGCTCACATTTTATTTCTATTGTTTTAAATTCTTCGGGGTTTTGGGGTTTTGGGGTTTTGGGGTTTTGGGGTTTTGGGGTTTTGGGG